GCCCCTGGCCCGGGTGCCCTGGCACAGGGCAGGGCAGGGATATCTCTGGGGGCTGTTGGGGCGGGGGCTGTCCCTGACGGGGAGGGGGCACCGGCAGATCCGCGAGCGCCTGCCCGAGCGCGGCCCTGGGCAGCCTTGGCTGAGATGCAGCTCCGAGGCGGGCAGGGACCCGCTCTGCCCGGGGGGGCTGCGCCTTGGCACGGGGCACAGCCGGTGCCCGGGTCCCGCTGCCTTTACCTCGGATGAAGGCCAGGTCAGTGAGCAGCTTCAGCTCCCTGCTGACATCCAGCTGGAAGTGGCTGAAGGAGGCGTTGGCTGCAGGACGGAAGCTCTGCAGCGAATCGGTGGCCCTGAGGATCCTGCAGCACGGAAGAGCAGGGATGTCAGGGTGCCACCTCGGGCACCAGAGTGCCCCAACAGCCCTGTGCCTGCAGCCCAGTACCTGTTGTGCAGCTGCTTGGCAGCCTGGACAAAGCAGGGGTGGTCAGTCTCCTTCAGCACCTCCTGGGCGTAGCCCACCATGCCCGAGTTCTCCAGCATGGCCTGGTGCTCCCGGATCTGGCCGTGCAGGCTGGCCAGCCGCTCCTGCTGGCACTCCTCGATGGCCTGCAGCAGTGTGGCCCGCTTCTCCTCCAGCATGGCACAGAGCCCCTGGATCAGCTGTGACACCTCTTCCTTGGCCTGTGAGCCGTTCACCTGCCGGCCACAGACACGGCAGGGTCAGCGTGTGGCACGTCCTGGGACCACAGGGGACTGGGCTGGCTGTGCCACTGCTGCCTAGGGACGGCACAGGGACAGACACTGTCCTTACCTCCGTGTGCTTCACTGTCTCCTCCAGCTCAGCAATCTGGGTCTGCACCGTGTCCTGGCTGCTCAGGATGTAGGCGAGGCTCTTTGTCAGCTTCTCCTGCAGGAAGGTGATGAGATGTGGTGCTGGCAGCCCCCACCCCACACCCCCCATCTGCACTGGGGCTCTGTGGTGTCCCCAATTCTCCACAGAGCCCCGGCCTGGACCCAGCAGCCCTTACCCTGAGGGCCTGGTAGGCGCTGAGCACCGGGGTGATCTTGTGGCTGGTGTGGGTGCGGCGCACGCGGCAGAGCTGGCACACCAGCCGCTGGCAGGTCTTGCAGTAGTGAGTCACCTCCTCCTTGTGCTCCGGGCACATCAGCCCCTGCGCGGCACAGCGGGGCTCAGCGCGGCTCTGCACCCCCCGCCACCCCTGCAGAGTCCCACCCCTGCACCCCAGAGCTCACAGTCATAGAATGGTAGGGCTTGGAAGGGGACTTTAAAGATCATCTTGTTCCAACCCACCTGACATGACATCCTCAACTGGACCCCATCGCTCAGAGCCCCACCTTGGCCTTGAACACTTCCAGGGATGTGGCATTCACAAGTTCCATGGGCAACTTGTTCCAGTACCACACCACCCTCACTATAAGAATTTTTTCCTAACATCTAACCTAAACTCTCTCTCTTTCAATTTGAACCCACTGCCCTTTGTCCTGTCATTCCAGGCTCTTGTAAATAGTCTTGCCCTATCCTTCCAAAAGTTCCCTTCAGACACTAGAAGGCCACAATTTGGTAACCCCAAAGCTTCTCTTCTCCAGGCTGAACAATCCCAATTCTCTCAGCCTTCATCCCCCATCAGGGCAGGAGGACCCACGGGGAGACCGTACCTTGGGGCGGAAGGTGAGGGTGGGGGGCGTGGGCTCATGCTGGGCTTTCTGGGTGCCCCAGGGGTGGTAGAGCTTGAAGCACTCGTTGCAGAAGCTGGACTTGCACTCCGTGCAGCCCTTGGTGGCCTCCAGCTGCGGGGGCTTGCAGAACTGGCACATGATGGCCGCGCTGATGTTGATGGTCTGCCGGTACCGCTCCACCACTCGCTCCAGGGTCAGGTTGCGGAAGAGGCTGCCCAGGCCCCGCTCGCCCAGGTCCACGTCCCGCTGGCAGGCGGGGCACGGGAAGCTGACGGTCTGGGGGTGCACAGCACCCCGCTTGCGCCCCGGGTAGGTGCCAAAGCCTGTGGGAGGGAGGCAGGGAGGAGGTCAGTAGGGCACGAAGCCCCAGAGTCCCTCAGCCCTCCCGTGGGGGAGCCCAGGGGGCTATCCCCATCCCCATCTCCATCCCTTCCAGTTGTCCCTGTTCCCAACCCCTCCAGCCATTCCTGTCCCTGTCCTCTTCAGCCATCCTCATGCCCTCTGTTGTTCCTCTGCCCTCTGCCATCCCCTCCAGCCATCCCCCTCCCCTCCATCCATCCCTGTTCCCTCCAGCCATATCTGTCCTCATCCACTACAGCCACCCCTGTCCTCTCCAGCCATCCCCATCCCCTCTGCTGTCCCCATCTCCTCCAACCATCCATCCCTGTCCCCTCCAGCTGTCCCCAACCCCTCCAACCATCCATCCCTGTCCCCTCCAGCCATCCCCATCCCCTCTGCTGTCCCCAGCCCCTCCAACCATCCATCCCTGTCCCCTCCAGCCATCTCTGTCCCCTCCAGCTGTCCCCAACCCCTCCAACCATCCATCCCTGTCCCCTCCAGCCATGCCCATCCCCTCTGCTGTCCCCATCTCCTCCAACCATCCCTGTCCCCTCCAGCTGTCCCCAACCCCTCCAACCATCCCTGTCCCCATCCCCTCAGCCACCCCTGTCGTTTCCAGCCATCCCCTTGTTGCCCCTGTCCCTTCTGGCAGCCCCACCAGCCCCACCTGACTTAAGGAGGCGGTCGAGCCGGTCGGGTTTGGGGACAGCCCTGCGGCCCAGGCGGGGGCTGCGGGTGGACGGGGTGGCTGCAGGCGAGGTGGGCTCGGAGGTGGGGTCGCAGTAGAGGTGGCCGTGCTGCAGCAGCACCTCGCTGGCACACACGTGGCACACGTTGTGGGTACAGGGCAGTGCCAGCGGCTGCTTGTACATCTCCTTGCACACCGGGCACACCAGCTCCCGCTCCATGTTCTTCATGCTGGTCTGCGGAGAGAGCGGGAGCGTCACCCACCGGCAGCACAATGGGGCCAGGACCAGACGGGACCAGCACCAGGGCCAGGATCAGCATCAAGGCTGAGATCAGCACCAGGGCCAGGATCAGCATCAGGGCTGAGATCAGCACCAGGGCCAGGATCTGGGCCAGGACCAGCACCAGAGGCAGGGCTGGGATCAGCACTAAGGTCAGGATCAGCATCAGGGCCTGGGGTCAGTACTAGGGCCAGGGCCAGAACCTGGACCAGGATCAGCACCAGGACCGGGATCAGTGCCTGGAATCAGCACCAGGGCCAGGATCAGGGCCTGGAATCAGCACCAGGGCCAGGATCAGCACCAGGACCAGGATCATGACTGGTACTGGGACCTGGGCTGGGATGGAGACAAAGACTGGGACCATCATCAGGGCAACAATGAGGCCTGGGACCAGCACCAGGGATGGGATGAGGACAAACAGCAGGATCAGCATGAGGATGAGGATCAGGGCTGCCACTGGGATGAGGAATGGAGCTGGGATCAGCAGCAGGGCCAGGATCAGGGTCAGTACTGGAACCACAGCCAGGACCAGGGTCAGTGTCAGGACCAGCACTGGGATAGGGGCGAGGACTGGGACCAGCATGATGGCCAGGATCAGGCCTGGGAGCAGGCTGAGGAATGGCACCAGGGCCAGCACCAGGATGAAGCCCAGGGCTAGACTGGGGATGGGAACTGAGGCCACACCAGGACCAGGACTGGGGTCTGCACTGGTACCAGCATCAGAACCAGGATCAGGCTTGGGACCAACAGCACAGTCAGAATCAGGATCAGCACTGGGATCAGAACCCAGGATGGGACTCAGACCTGGTATGGGGATGTGATTGGGGCTGGGCCCAGAGCAGGGCCAGGATCAGACCAGTATCAGGACTGGCAGTGGAATGGGAATGGGGGCCACCACTGGGATCAGCACCAGGATGGGGCCCAGGGCTGGAATGGGGATGGTGGCTGGGATGGGGATGAGGACTGGCACTGGGAATAGTGCCAGGATGTGGCCCAGGGCTAGGATGGGGATGGGGACTGGGATGGGTGCTGGGATTGGAACTGGGAAGGACAGGGAGAAGGGGGCCAGGATGGAGATGGGGGCTGGGATGGGGACTGGGGCCGGACCCACAGCAGAGCCCGGATTGGGACCAGCGCCAGGACCGGGCTGGGCACCAAGATCGGGGCCGGGATGAGGCCGCCCCCTCCGCACCCGGTGCTCCCGGCTCGGCCGTGGCTCGGCGTCGGGGGGTCCCGGTGACGGCCCTCCCCGGGGGTCGCTGCGGTGAGTCGGGGTGCGGGTCCGCTGCCCGCCCACCCCTCAAGGGCATCGCCCTCCCCCCAGTCCCCGCCGCGTTGCCACGGCGACCCGGTCCCAGAGGACCCCCGTCCGCCCCCCGCCGCCGCCGCGGCCGCTCACGCTGATGCGGACGAGCGCGTCCATGATGGAGGTGAAGGTCTGCAGGTCCTCGCCCTCGGCCATGGCTCCGCTCCCCGCGCCCGTGCTTGCGGCGGCGGCGGCAGCAGCGGCGGCCGCGATCGCCCCGGTGTGTTGCAGGGAGCGGCGGAGCCGGGGGGAGGGCGGGGGGCGGCGGCGCGCATGCTCGGCGGCGCCCGCCCCGCCGGCACCGGAGGGCGGTGGAGGCACCGGAGGGGCGGCACCGGAGGGGGAGAGAGGCACCGGAGGGGCGGCACCGGAGGGGGAGGGGGAGTAATGGCGGGGCTGTTCTCGCCGCACCCCCGGGCAGCCCCCGACGGGCGACGCTCGGGGAGCGGCGCCTGGGGTGGGCTGCGCGCAGGATGGGCATGACACCGGTAACGGCGGTGGGCCCGGGGGTGGTGCCGGGCTCAGTGCCGGAGGTCCCGTCCCCGCGCTGTTCCCGTCCCCGCCGCCAGAGGGCGCTCCGGGCCGCGGGGACGCGCAGAGCCGCTCGCGGCCGCCGGGGGGCGCACGCTCGCAGGGAGGGGGCGGGGCCGCCCGCGCACGCGCAGTGACGCAGCCCGGCGCTGCTGCCGTGTCCCCGCGGCGCGCGGCCGCAGTGCGCGTGCGCAGAACGGCGGCACCGGGAGCGGAGCGGGACGGGCTGGGGGCACCATGGGTGAGGGGCGAACGGGGGCGGGGGAACGGGGAACGGGGGGGCGGTGGGAAAATGGGAGGTGACGGGGGAATGGAGTAATGGGGGAAAGGGGGGGCGCGGGGACAGGGGTGGCAATGGGAATACCGGGGGCGCGAGGGGTAACGGGGCAGGGGGGCACGGGGTTAACGGGAACGAGGGGAGTGGAGGTGTAACAGGGCAGAGCGGTATTGGGGGCACGGGGATAACGGGGTTAACAAGAGCGGGGGGGCAGCTGGAATGGGGGGCACGGCCCTGTGGGTGCAGGGTGGGCTCAGGCCCCGGGTCTGGCCTCGGTCCCGGTGCTGAGTCGGCCCCGGGACTCAGCCGTAGGAACGGGCACGTCCCTGGCGCTGTCGTCGCTGCTGTCGCTGCTGCTGTTCGCCGGGATGCAGATGTACAGCCGGCAGCTCGCCTCCACCGAGTGGCTCACGATCCAGGGCGGGCTGCTGGGCTCTGCGCTCTTCGTCTGCTCCCTCACGGCATCCCCGGGGACTGGAGCGGGACCGGGGCACGGGAGAGCGGCTGGGGGGGAGTGGGACCAGGGTGCCGGATCAGGGGGTTGGAAAAAGGGCCAAAGGGGTGATGGGGAGCAGGGTCAGGGGCTGGGAGCAGATCCAGAGGCTGGGAATGGGGCATGGGATGGGAACAGGAGCAGGTCTAAAGGCCAGGAGTGGGGCTGGAGCAGAGAGGATGTGAGATGGGAGCAGGCTCGGGAGGACGGTGGGATCCTGTTCTGTCCCTTAACCCCACAACCAGGCCTTCAACAACCTGGAGAACCTCATCTTTGGCAAGGGCTTTCAGGCCAAGATATTCCCTGAGAGTAAGTGTTGTGGGAACCCAGGAGGGGAACAGGAACACATCGGTGTCTGAAGGGCTGGGGGTGCTCCAGCAGTGGCACTGGATGGTCCCAGCCCTGCCCTGGAGCTGTGGCAGCTTCCCTTGAGCTTTTTGTGGGCCTGGGGGAAATCATGCTGCTGCAGCCATGCCCCCCTCCCATCACCGGGGGGTAGCCCTGCAGCACCGTGTGTCTCCTGGTTCTCCACAGTCCTCACCTGCCTCTTGCTGGCTCTGTTCGCCTCTGGCCTCATCCACCGGGTCTGTGTGACCACCTGGTACGTCCAGAGCTGCACTGGAGAGTGGGGAGCCACCAAGGGGACCCCGAGGGACCGTGGTGACACTGGGAGAGGGGCAGGAAGCTGGGCAGGGCCAGGACTGCCAGGGAGCCTCGGGGGGTGGTGGGAGCAGCAGCACAGTTTGATCCAAGGGGAAAGTGTTGGTTTAGGAAGGGCAGAGGGGTGGGACCCAGGGACAAGGTGTTGGTTTACAAAGGGCAGTGCAGTGGGATCCCAGGGAAGCCGTTGGGGTGACCCTGCCGTGTTCCTGCCCCCAGCAACTGAGCAGCCTCTTCCCTTCTGCTCTCATAGCCTCATCTTTTCCATGGTTGGTCTCTACTACATCAACAAGATTTCCTCCACTCTCTACCAGTCCACAGCGCCAATTGCTGCTCCTGCCAAAGCTGTTGGCAAGGGCAGGAAGAGAAATTGATGTCCTGCTGCCCCTTCCTGGGGCAGCCCTCTCCCTATGGCCAATCCAGGACAGCCCCCTGCCCAATAAAGCCATTTCTTTGTAGCTTCTTGTCTCCTCTGCCAGCTCCTGGCCCAGTTTCTGGCCCTGCTCTGTGCCGGTGTGGCTGGAAGTGGCCCTGGAGCCTGGGGTAGGTTCTGGGTTGCCCAGGGAAGGTGGGGATCGCCAAGGATAGAAGATGTGCTGCTGGCATCTTGTCTGCCCAGACCTGCAAGGGAGGAAGATCCCAGTGGAGCCAAGACTGGAGCAGGCTGGAGTGGGCAGGGGGGTTGTGGGGGTCCCAGTGGCTCAGGGCCCCAGCTGCCACCAGACCGCTGTGCTGGCACAGGTCAGGGGTTTGGCAGGGTATCACAGACTCGTGTGTGCCCTCCGTAGGACACCGGCTGGGTCACCGGGGCTGCCCGGCTGCGGGGGGGTGGGAACGGCGCGGTCCCTGCGCCCGTGGGAGGGCAGGCAGGACTCGCTCCCACGCCGGGCCCCTGGCACCCCTCCGGCCGGACGTGGAGGAAACCAGATGCTTCCTGCGGCCTCGGCCGACAAAGCCCGGCGCTTCCTGCGGCACCGGGAGCGGGGCCGGACCCGGGGTCCCAGCGGGGTCCCGGTGGTGCCGCGCCCCGCCCGCAGGGGGCGCCCGCGCGCACCGCTCCGTGGAACTACAGCTCCCGGCAGCCCACGCGCGCGGCGCTGCCGTTACGTCACCGCAGCGCCGGGCGGGGAGCGGGACCAGCACCGGGAGCGGGACCGAGCCAGGTGGGGGTGGGGCTGGCCCCGGACCCGGTTTCTGGAGGGGGTCCTCGGTCCGGCTGGTGGAAGCCCCGGGGGAGACTGGGGGCGGTCCGTCTTCGGCCTTGCCTCCTTTCTCTGCCTCTCTCCCTCTCTTTCCCCGTTTCCCCTTTCCCCCTCTGTTCCTCTCATGCGTCCCCCACTCCCCGTTTTTCCTCTTCTCTTTTTCCACTCTTTCTCCTTCTCCCCTCAGGCCGCCATGACCAAGCTGGGACAGTGGCTGTGTGGACTGGCCGTGCTGGGCTCGGCCTGGGCCGCGCTGGCTCTGGCCCCGCCGCAGCTGCAGCCGCCGGCCCCGCTCCGCCAGGCGCTGCTGCCACTGCCCGTCTACCTGCTCGTGGCCTTCGGCTGCTACTCCCTGGCCACCGTGGGCTACCGCCTGGCCACCTTCAACGACTGCGAGGAGGCGGCGGCCGAGCTGCAGGAGCACATCAGGGCGGCGCGGGCCGACCTGCGGCGGCGGGGGCTGCGCCTCGGACCGCAATAAAGAGCGGGGACGCTGCTGCCCGTGCTGTTCTGTGGCCCCGGGACGGGCGGGGGGCTCCGGGTGCTGCTGGAAGCTCCCCGGGGGAATCGCTCGGCTCTCAGCGGTGTGCGGGGAGGGTTTGCTTGGGGGGTTCTGTGTGGGGCAGGGTCTCCATGCAGACCCAGTTCTCCCAGTTCTCTGAGGGGCTGCAGTGAAACCCCCCCACAGCCGGTCCTGCCCTGCCTGTCCCTCGCTGCGCTCCCTGCAACTTGGCTCTGGAGTCGGATGCGGGACCGGGCCGTGGCCCGGAGCATTCCCGGCTCAGAAGTGGCTCACCCCGGCAGGTGGGAGCTGGAGGAGCCTCATCCCGTCCCGCTGGCCGGGTTCCCGGGAAGGAGGAGAGGGACTGGCAGGGTGGGGGGGGCGACACAACCTTTAAATTGCGGCGTGGTGTCCCCGCCTCAAGCCCGGCAGCTCTAGGGGAGCTCCCCCGACTCCTCTGCCCACCCCCAGCACCACACTGGGCTTCACTGGGAAGAGGGAAGGGTGGGGGGCTCTGTCTGGGGAGGGGTCCGCTCCTGGGGACCCCCATTTCTGCTCTCTGACCCCGTGTGCAGGAACCTGCTGCCCTGGCAGCCGCCAGCTCCTCCAGCCAAAGGACTTTGGGATTTTAATTAGCAGCTGTGCGTCCTCTGCAGAAAGGAGCAGTTGGGAGCGGGAGGGAGGACTCGGGTTAATTAGCAGGAGCAGCTAATTAGGTGTTTCCTGAGCAGCAAAGGCTGGTGGGAGTAGGGTGGGAAGCTGCCAGCACTCGCTGGCACACGGCTGGCTGGGGGATGACATTGCCCTGGATTTGGCCACGTGGGGCCTTGGTGGGGTCAGGACTACGGCACAAGGACAGCAGTGCTATGGGGGCTACTGACAGCCTTCTGTGGGCTACTCAGGGTCATCAGAGGCTCCTCACAGCCAACCATGGGCTTCTTGTGATCATTCAAAGGGGCTACATGTATCCATCCAGTGGCTACTTGTGGTCATGCAGCGGCTACCATGGCAATCCGGCCCCATCCCAGGGCTACTTGTGACCCTCAGGGGCTACTGACAGCCAACCAGGGGGCTCCTTGTGGCCATCCAGGGGCTACACATGGCCATCAGGGGCTACTGACAGTCCTCTGTGAGCTACTCAGGACCAGCAGGGGCTACTTGTGGTCATCTAGGGGCTACTCACAGCTGTCTGTGAGCAACCCGTGACCCTGTGTAGGCTTCTCATGGCAATCCAGAGCCTCTACTCATGGCCATTCAGTGGCTACTCATGGCTTTCAAGGGGCTACTTGTGGTCATCCAGGGGCTACTCAGGGCAATCCAGGGCCTCTACTCATGGCCATCAGGAGCTACTCCCAGCCCATGTGGCAGCAGCCTGGTGGCAGCTCCTCCCTGCATGGAAACATCCGGGAGCTGCCTCCGGCCTGGCACAAGGGGCCACGTCACGGCCGCTCCCGGCACGGGGCAGCTGGAGCGACCGGTTGGCAGCCAAGGTGTGTCAGTGGAGAAAGCTGTCCTTTCCCGAGGCTGTGGGGCCAGGCTGGGAACTGCTCCCGCTGCTGGAGGGGAGCAGGGGGCTCCTCCCCGCTGGGCCAAGTCCCAGGAGCAGCCGGAGCAGGTATGGGGAGCCCTGGATCCACAGGGGCAAGACAGAGCACGCCGGGAGCTCGTCCTCCTTCCCTCGGCACTGTGCTCAGCTCTGTCCCACTATATGGATTTTTCCAGGGTGTGTGAGGTGTGCACAAGCAGCAGAGGTTCAGCACAGCTCCTGCCAGCATCCTTGGCACCGTATCCTTCATCCCAACAGTGTCATCTGGCCAGAGTGTGGGATGAGGCTTCTTCATCCTGGGGGTGTCCTGCATAGGGTGGGGGTCTCTTTCTGCAAGGCTCCAGTGTCTGCTGCCCCTCCTGTCCCTCCATTGAGGCACCAGCCTGATATCTTCATTCCAGATCGCTGTTAATTGGTTAATCGACGTAGGATCGATGCTTGATCCAGGCCCAGTCGATCCACAGGGGTTTATTAGCAAGGATTCCCATCGATTCCCAGTTCCTGGCATGATGGCTGCTTGTCAGTTCCACACTTTTACCCCCACGTTGTGATGGGTGGCTCCCGTAGCTCAGGGAGGGTCAGAGCAGCGCTGTCTTCCCTTCGTGGCCCCAACCCAGCCAACACCAGGGCTGATAGCTGGTGAGGGTTTGCCAGAGCCCAGGATGTGGCAGGATGAGCCCCCACCACAAGCAGCCCCTGTAGGGCCACAAGGAGCTCCTGAGCAGCTGTAGGGCCAAGAGCTGGACCATCCTCTGCAGCAGCACCAGGAGGGAGGTACAAGAAGCAGGCACTGGGAAGTCTCTGATTTATTAAAAGGCACTTGAATCCATACAAAAGCGACACCTGGACGCCTGGAAACCCCATCCCGGTGCCAGGCAGGGCCACGGGCATGGAAACCTATCCACCCACCCTGGGATTTGAGGAGCTTATGGCACCCCAAATGGATTTCTGAGAGCTCCAGGGCCTTTGCTGAAGGATGCAGGGCTGGAGGTCCTTCCTGGTGTCCCACTGGGAATGGCCAAGGGGACGGTGGTGGCACTTGGTGCTCAGCAGTGGGGCCAGCCCAGGCCAGAGTTGGGGTGCTCCTTAGGGGGCCTCTCAGGCAGGCAGGGGGCTGTAGGTCTTGTCCTGCTCTGGCCTGTACCGCTGGAAGAGCCAGAACCGCACGAGGCTGGTGACGATCCCTGGCACATTGGGGACCTGCAGGAGGACATGGGGGGAGGGTGGATGTACCCCTCCCGCTGTGGTGCTGGGGGAGGTTTATTGGCCCCATCCCAGCTAATTAATTAAAATCAATAGTCATCATGCTGAGCCTTGTCACCCTTGGCTGGGTGACACATGCGGTGCTGAACAGGGCCGGCCCCAAGCCAAGTGTTCAGCTGAGCCATGAAGAGGGGAATGGGGTGGGATTGGATAGGATGGAGTGGAATGCGATGGGGATGGAATAGGATGAGATGGGGGTGGGGTGAGATAGGAATGGGATGGGGTGAAATGGGGCAGGAGGGGATCACAACAGAATGAGATGGAGAAGGGTGGAATGCGGATGAAGCAGGCCAGGGTGGGATGGGGATGGGGCACGATGAGATGGGATAGAGTGGGATGGGATGACACCCCTTGGTGTTCCACCACCCCAACCCACTGTGATGTACGGATCATGGAGCTGCAGGCCATAGAGTGTCCAGCTGCTGGAGGCCACAAGGGTGGTGACGGTCAGGGGAAAGGACAGGCACCGCGTCGACTTGCTCCGGACAACCTTGGCCTGCAGGAGCAAATGTCAGGCAGGGCCCGGGCTGGCAAGCCCCAGCTCTGCCGAGCCCCACACACCAGGTCAGCCAGCGGTGAGAGGTACATGGTGATGGTGAAAATGCTGCAGAAGAGCCCCAGGTGTGTCAGGCGTGTCCCTGTGTCAACCAGGATGGTGAAGTAGCCGTAGCCAGTGACCACCAAAGCCAGGAGCAGCAGGACCTGCAGCAGCACAGGGCGCTGGGAGGGACAGCAGGGAGATGTCAGGGTGAGGGTCCCCCATCCTCTCCATCGCCCCAGGCCCCTGCCCCACCTTGGCAGGGCTGTAGTAGAGATACACCAGGATGTAGAGGGTCTGCAGAACTGCCCCGATGGCGTTGACGGTGATCACTGTCCCGTCCCCCTTCAGGCAGCCATAGCCCAACCAGCTCAGGTTGCTGCAGGGACATGGCACAGGCACTTGGCTGCAGCCTGGGGGATCCCCCCTGCCCCTCAAATGTATGTGACCCCCCTCCTCAGGGCCCCACCCCGCTGTACTTGGCATCAGTGGTGAGGAAGGGCAGGAACTGGATGTTCTCCACACTCTTGGTGGCCAACATCTGGCGCAGGTCAGACCTGGGGGGATGTAGAGGGCAGCAGCCTCCTGGGTGCTGGGCAGTGCTGGGGTGGGGAGGCTCCAATCTCTGCAGCCAGCAGGCACTGCACCCCTCCACTCTCCTCCCCCTGCATCCCCCAAATGGGACTCAGCGCCATCCCCATCGCACCCCCAATCCTTCTGCACCAGCCATCCACGGCCCACTGCACCCCCAAACTGAGCCCGATGCCCTCCCCACTGCACCCCTATGGCCACCACTGCATCCCCAGGCTGGCTCTGACACCTTCCCGATTTTACCCGCAAAGGCCCCTCCATGGCCTCCACCGCAGCCCCAGAATGCCTCCGTTGCTCTGACTATTGCATCCCCAAGCCTCCCACCAGTCCCCACACTGCCCCAAGCCTCCCACCAGTCCCCACACTGCCCCCCAAAACCGGCCCCGGTGTCCTGATTGCACCCTCATCCCCCACGGGCCCCACAGCACCCTCCAATCCCCCTCCCCAAGGCCCCCACTGCACCCCAAAACCGTCCCCGGGGTCCTCCCCAACGCCCCCCGGCCCTCAGTGCACCCCCGAGCCGGCCCCGCTGCGCTCCCCGCCGCCCCCGCCCGGGGCCGCCGCCGATCGCTCACAGGCCGGTGGCGAACATGGCGAGGGTGGCGGCCAGGCAGACCCCGGCGAGCACCGACAGGACCATGCCGGAGCCCGGGCAGCGGCGGGAGCGCGGCGGGGCCGGTGCTGCCCGCGGCGGGGCGGAGCGGAGCGGGGCGGGACGCACTACCGGGGAGGGACCGGCTCCGCGCACCGGCCGGGGAGGGGCGGCGGGGATCCAGCTCCGGCCGGGGGGAGCAGCACCGGCACCGCCGTGACCGCCCCGCGGGCACCGGGGCCGGTTTGGGGGGGTGCTGCACCCCATAGGTCCCGTGTGTTGAGTGCTCCCCTCCAGGTCTGGGGGTCCGCAGCGGCGGGGGCCTCGTGTCCTGCCGTCCCCAGGGTCAACCCCACGGTCCAGATTAAACAGCCCGGGGACCGCACACTCCTGCGAAGCCACCCACGCCTCCTCCAAGAGTCACACATCCCTGTGACAATTCCCCAGGATTGTGCATCCCTGGGATCTGCATTTCCACGGGCTTCAAGGCCCTGTGGCCCCGCTGTCCCAGGGTGCCCACGCACATCCTGGGGGTCACTCATCCCTGTGTCTTCTCCCTGATCCTCCATCTCTAGCATCCCACATTCGGGTGTTATCCATCCCTGTGACCCCAGTACCCCAAGATCTCACCTCTCCAGGACTCTCACTCCTTGGGGTTCCCAATTCCAGGAGCCTCAAAGGCCTGTGATCCCAGCTCCCTGCACCCACACCTCGGGGGTCCCTGGGGTGCAGCCAGGCTGTGTCCCCTACCCAGCCCCAGGGGCTCCGGCTCAGGCCCCTCCTCACCCCCGCTGGGGGTGTCCCATCCCATGGAGTCTGTCCCACTCCAGTGGGGTTTGACCCAGGAGTTGCTGCCCCCCACCTGGAAGGTGAAGAGGGAGGGGGGCCCCGCCCTCGCACAGGCCTTTGTGTCACCAGATAAAGCTGGGGACAGTGCCAGCCACTGTGGCACTTCGCCACTTAACAGCCCCGTGCAAACAGCCAATTAATTAATTAACCAGCCCAACCCCCCACAGGGGCCAGGAGAGCCTGGCCCAGGAGGGTGGGGGAGGTCTCAGGAGCTCAGCATGGTTTTGGTTATTTATTCCCGACAATGGTATAAAAAGTCCCGTGTTAGAAAGCTGTACAAAGGGGGAGCTGGGGGCCCCTCCGGCACCCAGCGGAGGGGAGGGATGGGGAAGGGCCAGGGGATGAAGGATGGGGTAGGGGTGCAGCACAGTGAGGAGTGGGATGTTCCTGATAACCCCGCTCCCCTGGCTGCGGGGCATCTCCAGCCTGTCTGTCCTCCCTGACCACTGACACTGGGGGTAAGCAGCCCCCTGCACCGGTGTCACCTGGCCACCCCCATGTCCCCGCCAGCAGGACACGTTCCAGTTCAAGCCCACCATGGGGAAAACCCCGAAGGTGGTGGGCGAGCTCAGCTGCGGGGCAGGGGTGCCAGCCCCCTGCCCCTCTCCAGTCTGGGGCACTTCAGCCCCTCCAGCTCCAGGCTCCCGCTCAGCCTCTGGCTGCCAGGACCATCCTGGAAGGGCCAGGGAAGCCTGAAGGCCCCAATTGCTCTGTGGCTTTGGGCCTTCCAGCCCTGTAATACTGATGAATCCTTTCCTCGCCCAGATGTGCGCAGGGCAGGGCACCTGGGGCAGATGTGCTGGGACCACAGAGGTCTCCAGTGGCCTCAGCCTCGGTGGGTCCAGGCACGTGGGGCAGCTCAGAGCCCCTGCGGCACCAAGAGGGGCAGGAGGAGGCTGATGAAGGTGAAGGGGCGGCTGCTGCTGCGCATGGCTGAGTTCTGCCCCACACTCCTCAGCACGTGTGCGGCTGCATCATCTGGGGGGGGGGAAGAGAGGAGCCATCAGCAACCCCAGAAGATAAACCATACCCCCAGACAGCAGCACATCACCCCTGCACAGGGTTGCCACCAGCCTTGGTACCTCAGAGCCCCCCAGGAGGGGCAGATGAGCTTAGCCCAGCGCCCCTGACAAACCCCTGTCCCACCATGAGGGTGGCTGCGTTCAGGCCACCTGAGCCTGCCTTGGTCCCCCCCAGGGAAGGCAGCTGGGCTCAGCCTGGTGCCCCCAAGAACACCCCATCCCTCGGGAAGGGAAGCTGGCTCGGCCCCAACCCACAGCCCCCAACACACCTGCCTGGATCCTCCCCTTCTGTGTCGAGGCCGGGGCAGGTGGTGCCGGAGCTGCGGAGGAAACAGGGGGGTCATGCCAAGGAAGAGCAGCACCCCAACCTTCCCAAAAATCCTGTTTCACTGTGGGCTGCCCCCCTTTCCCCGCCACCAACACCTTCCCGGCCGAGCCGCGCGTGCCCACACCCGGGGCTGGCCAGAGGCCACGGCCAGGCCGTGACTCAGCCGCGGCCAAGGCCACGCTGGGCACCGGCGCCGCGAGCGGGAAGGAGGGGACGCGGGGGGGGCCCTGAGGGGGTGCTGATACTCACTGCCTTTGCCTGTCACCGTCACCTTCAGCTTCAGGCAGGCTTCACCGTGGTGGTGGATGGGCTTGGCTGCGAAGGGAGAAGCAGGTTAGGTAGGGTTTGGGGGGAGTCCGATGGCGATTCCCTGCAGCACCTCAGAGCCGCCCTCCGCGGCCCCCCCGCACTCACAGATGTAGTAGTAGCTGTGCCCCTCCCTGAACTCTTTGCCCAGCGTGAAGGGAGTGAAGCGCTGGAATTTCTCCGAGAACTTCTCGGGGCCGTGCAGGGCGCTGGGCTTGTCGCATTCCCAGCGGATCTGCTCCTTGGAGCGGGGCTTGCAGGCCTGGTACTCCTCGAGCTCCACCAGGTACAGGGTGTAGCGCTCCATGGCCCGGGGGTCCACGCTGCCCTCCTCGTAGTGGGGGCAGATAATGTCCAGGTAGTCATTGAGACGAACCTCCACCGTGTAGTCACTCCACAGAAACCTGTGGCAGGAGGGTGGGCAGGGGGTTTACTCAGGGTTAGGGGCCTTACTTTCACCCCCAAATCCCCCACACGCAGTGGGGCCGGCACCCAGCCCACGGCAGCGCTGGGTGGGGGCACCCTTGGGTCCACCCTTCCCTGTGATGAGTCTTGCAGCACCCGGAATAGCTTTGAAAGGGCAACCCCCACTTCACTCTCCCTCCGGCTTGGCCCCCCGGCAGTGAGTGGTGAGCGCACCCCACTTCCCAGCACTTCCCAAGAGCCGGGGAGCAGGGAGGGGACCCGCTGGGACGCGCACCCTGCCCGCACCCTGCCCGGCCCAGCGCTGCCGGAGCAGGAGGCGTCGCGGCTCTCGCCGTGGGGCAGCCAGCCCGGCTCCAGCTGCGCCCCACACCCCACCCGGGGGGGGCACGCTGGGGGCCTCCACGGGGTCCCCACCTAGCCGGCTGTGGTTGCCTCGAGAGGGCACAGCCACCCACGGGGGCACCCCCTGCTCCCCAAACCCTGGGAGGGAACACAGAGGACATAGCCCTACAGTCTGGGGAGTCCTACACTCGTGGGGGACACCGTCTTGGGAGGGGGGAGAACCCCCAAAACTTGGGGAGGGACTTCGCCCAGGGAAGGAGAGGAAGCCCCACGTCTCCCCACGGGTGCCTAAGTGTGGGGCACCCCCACAGCCCGGGGGTCTGGAGAATGAGGGGGGCTCCCCGAAAGCCAAGGGGGACGCTCCTAGAGCCTGAGAGAGAGGTCATGCCCTGGGGGAGCACCTCTACAACCAGGGGGAGTCAGGGCTCCGGCCGGGGGGCACCCCTAGAGCCTGTGGGGCTGTTGCTTGAGATGGGGTCACCCCGCAGCCTCGGCGGCCGGTGAGCGGGGAGTGGGGGCTCGATCCAGGTCTACCCCCCCGCACATCCTGCCCGGTGTTTGTCAACACGGTCCCCGGGGCCGGCGCCGGGGCTGGCGCCGCGCCCCCCCGCGGGAAGGAAGCGGCCCCTTCGCACGGCCCTGGGAACGGAAAGGCCCCCCCGGGCGCACCTGGACCAGCCCCGCCGCCCCCCGCACGGCCCCACCGGCCCCGCATCGAGCTCCGCACCGGCCCCGCCACCTCGCCCCGCACAAAGGCCGCCGGGGAGCGGAGCGGCGCCGCCCGCGCCCTCGGAGCGGCCGGTGCCGGGCTCGGTGCGCGTTTGCGGGGGGGTGCCGGTGGGAGGCGGGGGTCACTCACCGAGGGTTGGAGCTGTTCCAGAACACCGTGTGCCGCTCAGCCGCCGCCGCCCAGCACAGCCCCAGCCCCAGCAGGGCCAGGGGCACCCCCGGCCGCCCCATCGCTCCGCGGGTGCTGCGCTCCACGGGCGGCCCCTTGCCCGCCCCCGCTTAAGTACGGCCCCGCCGCCGCTCCGCCTCCGCCACCGCCCCGCGCTCGCACAACAACACACGGGACGGGGCGGGGGGCACGACACACACACGACACACCCCCACCGGTATCGATCGGGGCCACGCAAACCACCCCCACACCGGGACCGGCACCGGCGGGGACCCCGGGACCGGCACCGGGCAGGGGGATGCAAACCCTCCCTACCGAAACCGGCGCTAGCCGAGACACAAACACACCCCCCCGCACACCGGGACCGGGCTGGGGGACACAAACACACCCCCCCGCACACCGGGACCGTGCTGGGGGACACAAACACACCCCCACACACACACCGGGACCGGGCTGGGGGACACACTCCCCTCACAGCACCCCCACTCAACACCCTCCCCCCGAGCTCCAGGTGCTCCCCACCTCGACACCCCACACATACACACCATCCCCCCCCACGGCACCGGCACAGAGCAGGGGCGGCCCCACAAGTGCCCCACAGCACGTAGGGATCCCACACACACACACACACACCCCCCACACCCCCCCCAAACACACACACGGGTCCTGCCTGGGGTCACATCACTGGGGTGCAGCCCGGGCTGATCCCCACAGAGTGACCTCGGGGGCCCAGGGAACAGTGAACGCTTCTTACTGGGAGGTCTGATTGAGAGTGTAGGATGGGGGCTGTGGGTGCAGGATGGGGGGCTGTGGGTGCACACTGGGGGGCTGTGGGTGCAGGATGGGTGGCTGTGGGTGCA